TTGAATTTAAATCTTCCCCCTCTTTTTAAACCCAGAGCTTTAGTAACTATCTTACTACCCTCGTTTTCATTTTTTTCGCTCCAATCTATAGCCCGTTTTTTTAGCGTTTGGGCCAAAAGTCCGAGCGGAAAAAACTCGGTTCGTAACTTACACTAAAGACCGTGAGAACGAATGTAACCTAGATGCTATACCTCAGTCTTACCTTATATAATGTAGTGTGTGGTGTTATCCTGGCTTTCCTCTTTCTATGGTGTTTGATGTGACATTAAGTGCGGTGTGTCCACATATAGTAGTTCTGCAATATTACTGCTGTTAGACTTGTTATTAGGATCATGACCGGAAGGAACTTTTGTTTTTAATCAGATTAACCCATAAGCGGGGGTACTTTGATCTGGGATTTCATAGTATACCAACCTCATTTGACCACAGGTCTACCAGTTGTTATTGTGAGTCTAATAGCAGCCATCAGACCTGTGACATATGATATGAGTAAGACATACTACAAGGACGTCATGTGTGGATCACTGAAATTTTCAGCGGAGATTATACGTGACAGGTTGGTATAACTCTCCAACTTCCTCGATAAGGACCATTGACTCTTTCTTTTAACTGCTACGCCTTTTCTTTTAAGAGGCCCATGTGTTTGATTTATGTTTTGAATGTCTGTTTCTTTAATTTTTTCGGATTGTAAAGGTTTGGTTCACAAATTTTTTCTATATCGATTTTTCTATTATTGTATTTTCTATTTTTTTCCTTTTCATTTGCAACAAAGCGGAAAGTTGCAAATGAATAAGTAAAATGCATTGATCTGCTTTCCTTTTTCCTTACTTAGTCATGTTGGAATATTGTAATCTTTTCAAGGTGCTGGCTAAATGACGGTGAATGGCTGTATAAAGGACCAATCTTGGCAATTCTCGTGGTAGGCTCAACTTTCTTTCCCAAATCTAATTATTGAAGTAATTTTTTGTGTGTTTTTTGAAAAGTGCAGCTTTTTTTCTTAGACGTTTGATTACTTACCGCCGGGGTGTGAGGAGGTTGAGAATAAATAATGACCATGAACACCTTTATGTCTGTTTCTTTTGAGTTCTCGTTTAACTCTTTTGATACTTTCCTTTGTTCTGCTGCGCCGTTTCGACTTAATTGGCTGGTTTTTGTTTTTGTGACTTTCAGTGAAGCGCTCCAACTTAAAGCTTTTTCTGTACTTCAAACGACCAATCAGACACATTACATGCATCATCAGAATTTTTTTTCAAGGTCAAACATTTTCCAATTTTTCATTTCCAGGTCAATCTTGTGATATTTATAATTCTGCTGAGAGTTATCTTCACCAAGATATCGAAAAAATATCAGACTGATAATGTAGAGAAGACCAGGTAAGTTTCTTCTTTTGTTTTCTCATTCCCGTTTCCTTTCTTTGATATATATATATATTTGCTTATGATCTAGTGAAAGAGTCAGATTTGTACGTGTGATTTTTTTAATTAACAAGCTCTTTTAACTAGATGCTATTAACCAAGGTTTTCGAGAAGGGCCTATCGAAAGTGGCAAATGTGTTTTCTCCCACGTGCACACAGAATAGGAAATGCTGTTTAAAACGATTTGGAATTGAGCAATGCTTTTCTACGTTCTGTTGCCAGAGAAACTGAGAAAAACTTCAGCAGTGGTTCCGTGGGTCTTTGAACGTTTGGCAGTCAATATCCCCCATTTATACTCCGTTGGCGACAACTGATCATCCTTCCATTCCCGCTGAAAAGCACGTGATACCCCCCACCGAAAAATCCTCCATCCCCCTCCCCCCGTGATTGATCCCTTAAAGTTCCTTTCATCTTACAGAAAAGGATTGAGGAGCATCGCAGCTCTACTGCCCCTGTTGGGTGTCACGTGGCTGCTGGGGTTCTTTATCAACTGGAGTGAAGTCCTTGCGTATTTGTGCATCATACTCAACTCGACCCAGGTACTCACGGTTCTATGTGCTCTACAGTTGCTGCTATCGATCATGTTTATCTCACGCGTGTTTTGTTTTATTCTTTTAGGGTTTGGTGCTTTGTATCTTCCATGGCTTCTTGGATGACCAGGTATTTTCCAACTTAACTCGTACAGCTTTGGTGTAAGTTTGATGCAGAATATCGTATTCCTTGTGGTGGCCCTCTGAATTGGTGGCTTATGTACCTCCACACTCAGAACTTTAAGTAGAATAGCTGATTTTCTATACTTGTTTGTTGCAGTGTTTCTTTATTTGTTACAATAGGTGAGAGAGAGTTTGCTCAGCTCCATTAGAAGGACACGATTAGGAATGATGACCCAAATTTGGAGATCATCTATTGTATCAACAACTACTCAGTTGTCACCTGCAGGTATTAGTTCTTAATAGTTCATTCTTGCTTTACACTGTCTTGTACCGTGTAGAAGCGTTTGTTGCCATATACGTTTAGTTCGGGGAACGTGCGTCCTTACGAGACTGATATATCTAGCAGTGAAGTCCTAGATAAATTTTCCACGTGTGGGATTTTTCGCTGAGCCTATCTAATTCTTCTCTCTTTTCTTTTCTTCTTTTTCTCCTCCTCTCTGGCTGCCGTTTTTTATCTTATTCGGATCCACCTTATTACAGACTTTTTTACACTTACGTAGGGACATGGGTCATTATTTGTCGTCTGGGGGATTGGGGCGCTGGAAAATTTTGTTTGTGTCACGCTAAAATTAAACCTGATCCTCCATAGGTCTCTATAATATTCTTAGGAGACCCACTCACCCCATCCCACCCACCTTCCTCATTGGCAATTAATTGGCAGTCAATTTTCTATAGCCTTCTTTATACTCTGTTGGTGACGACCGATATCCCCCTCCGTACCTCCTGAAAACCATGTGATCCCTCCAAACCCTCCTCCCACCCCACCCCCTAAGCGGTGAATAATGACTGACCTTATACCTACCACATATTATAATTATCTCTAGACTTGTGATCTTTCCTCTTTTCCGATTTCTAAATTGAAAAGAATTTCCATTAACGAGTGTTCCCTCTACAAATGTATGTGGAATTTGGGCCTGGGTGCCGGTGGAGAAATTACGAATATCAGATCTTTCAGCAATCTTTTTATCAGTTCTTCTTTTCTATGTTTAACTTTCAGGTTCGATAAATGACCAAGCGAACATGGGGCAACGCCCTGGGATTGCTGGAACGAAGCATTTCGATACTAAGCTTTAATGGTATCTCTTGATAATAAAAAAAGCTCCTACTAGCTTCGTAATAGCTAATTCAGTTTTTAACCTATTTGCAAGCCTTGATATGAGGCTACTGGCTGCAGTGAACAAAGACAAGTTTTTTTTTCCGTACTAGTGCTGTTTAAGGAGATCAGTTGTGTAGAAAGAACGCGCCTCAGGCTAGCACACTATAAATTTAGTCAGTGATAGTTAAAGAATGTTTAAAAAAGCCAAAGTGGGACATGAACTATTCCATAAGGAAATAAAAAAACTTATCAGTAAAAGCTTATTGATGTAGGAAAATGAAGAAGAATTATTGTAATTATTAGGATCTTTTAGCTACCAACAGAGTCCATCCACTGTACATACAGTGTTAAATATTCCGTTCAACTGCTTTCATTAAAGATAAAGTTTTGCCTCCAACTGTTCACTTGAAAATTCTTAGGTTGACTCTCTAACCACGCCACTGGGGAAGGTTACAGATTACCATGCATGAACAACCAGTCTCCAGAGAGCCTTGATGATTCATCCGATTTGCAGTGTTTTTCACCGGTTCCCAAAGGTAGATAGATAAATGAATAAATATTCTCGTATTTTGTGCAAACAAATTTGCCTTTGGCAGAATTATTCGAGAACTGTTGAAAGCAAACGATTTCAAGAACGAGACATGACTTTGCACCCCCCCTTCCGCTCTGCCGTCTCCGCCTACCTAATATATCCCCTCATCTGCTACTTCCCTATACCCGGGAATTACTGATTACACAACCGCAGAGGACATCTTCCAGGCGCATCAGGGAAGTCTCGAACTGGTGATTGCGAGCTCTTGTGTGCTGTCTTAGATACCTCTCCACAAGTGTATAACCCAAAGAAGTTAGTGCACGAGGTAAATAATTTATGGCAGGGCTCGCAGCGCGCGCAGCGTATAAATAGTCGTAACCATGAAATCGAAAAAATTTGGACTTATGACCGTACGTACGAGGTGCCACTTTTAGCATGCACGGTTAACTGCATTGCAGGCACTATGTTAGCAATTACGTAGTGGAAGGGTGAAGGAGAAGGTAATGCGCAGGCGCGACTGCGTGTGTAACTAAGACACCCCATAAATGCGCATAACAATGAATTGTGTATGCTCAAGCACCGCGCTTAAGTACAGCGTACTGCGGGCACACGGTTAAGCATTACACGAGGGCTTCACGTGGGCTGGGAGATGCGAACCGCGTGAGCAAATAATTTGCCACCCGCGTTTTGAGCGGGAAATCGAATTGGTGAGGTTGTAGTTTGAACAGTAATTCTCAGTATTTTTAATCAACTCGCCAAGCAACAATACCGACAGAGCTTAAAGCTTTGTCAACTAGAGGAAATTGTTATAATTCAAGTTCGTGGAGAAAGGGTTTTGAGTGAAATAGGCTGGAAAGAAGGAGACAACAATCAAAGAAAGCAAGAAGTAAAAGGCGTAAAGCGAGTCGAGAAAAACGCACAAGAAAGTTAGAGAGGACGCTAAAATAGACAGAATACGGCAAGCGGAACGCGCAAAAGAGCAAGAAAAGGCATAAGTAAAGAGGTGAATATCTAGCGAGGAGCCACGTGAGAATGAAATACGAAGAAATTCAGGAAACAAACTGAAAAGAGGTCATCAACAAAGGGAAGCGAACCACAAAGGATCCGCGAAAGAAGAGGAGGTAAGTCGTGTCTTATCTGGGTTTCCTATTACGCTAAGGCCAGGATAATTCAAACTTTTTTTCCCCAATCTTCATTCGATATTAGCCTTAGTTTATAATTCAAATCACGTTTCAGTAAAACAATGACTTTTGCATTCATCGCTTTAAAACCCTCGCGCCGGTTCGTCGCTCGAATAACATTTCAAAGTGTTCGTATTCTTCAAGTTATATCTTGTGCTATCTTTTGGAATTTTTCATACAGTCGTGGTGTTAAGGGAAAAGAAGTGATCTTATCGATTATATTTTGCCTAGAAAGTTTTCAAATGATAGCGAACGGCGTGAGCAAGTTTATATCATTACTCATTTAAAAAAATCGCGCTTTGTCGAAGATTTGTTGTTTTACCCAAAGAAAGAAGTAATAGCATTTCCCAAAATTGAAATGTAATGAGATAGAGTCACCGATGTTCATGTTTACATTAAGTCTGACGCAGTAATTTGATTTTGACAATATTGTCATGTGAGAACCCGTTAAACATCTGAGAATTAAATTACCGAGCGCACATGTGTGGTGCAAACAACTCACGAGTGAAATGGCGATAATCCTACTACAGAAGGAATCAATTTCATTGTTTGGTCATGGTACTTTTCAGCGCTGTGTTTTCATGCTTTCTACTCGATTCGTTCGAACTTGATTTGTCTCACAAAACATGGAGCCTCTTACTCTTCGCTCATCATCTCGAGGCGTACTTAATGCTCGGGTTATGATCAACATGCTAGCGATACGATAATTTTTTCCTAATGGTGGAAACTGAGGAGTCAATCTTATAAGAAGCGTCCGAGCTGTGATCGTGTAATTAAACGGGGTCCTGGCAATTTGAGCACACAAGCACGTTGTTAAGCACATGGTTAGCGTAAATATTTGTTGTTTACAGTTTTGGAATTCAAGAGCAGTTTTTGAGAGTCCGTTTCTGTAACCTTCCTAAATATTTTCTATTAAATTAAATTGGGTACAATCTTGGAATTTCATCAGTAATCAAGAACGATATATCCGTATATGTAGTTCATAAGAGATTATGAACGATAAATTCGCATCGGCGCCATAATTTAGTGAAGTTTTGTTGACACATTATCAGATTACAATTCGTGAACTATTACTGTAACCCGCTTGGATATTTTCTTTTGAATGAACTAAGTCACACTCTCCTTTCATCAGTAGTTAAGAACGATAAATCCGTATATGTAACACAAGTGAAGCACATTTTAAACTTTCCATACGATTTTAGGAAACTATACCTAATTGACTCTCGATAAATTGACCTGGCATAACTCGTTGATTATTTTATTATTTTGTGGCGCCAAAAGCCCGGCTTATGACTGTGGAAGTACTGAACTTGATATATTTGATACACAAGGCACCCTTTTTACGACCGTATGTAGCACCCAGTTTACACATGTAGATAATTGATTAAAAAATACCTATTATGGCTGTATTCAGAGACATAGACATGTAGGTAATGTGCTTCTGCTTCACTTTATATTAGGAGGTTTCTTTTTATGTACCATATGTCCATTCCTTTAATTTCCGTCTTAACCTGCCTAAAATAATCAAATTTCATGTTTTAATTCAAGGGTGAGAAGATAAACTGACAGCTCCTTTTTCAGACTGGATTCAGGTGAGAACATCAGTATACTAGTTAAAGTCATATGGTTCTCCTGAATCTTTAATTTTGTATCCCTGGTTTTTTCTACAAAGCCTATTTCATATCTCTGTGTGCCAGCTAATGATTAAAACCTCAGTGAAAAGATGTGCCACACTTAAGTGATTTTTTAAATTTCATCTTTAAGTGTTTGGCAGTTACTGTTTTTAAATTCATGTGTCATTCCCTTTTCATCCTTCTAAAGAGATATTAAGCATTTCTTTAACTAAAATCTGAATCATGAAGTCAACTTTATTTCAATGAGATTGAAACTTCATTCTATATAAGAACACTTTACTGGAGTATAATGTCATGTTTACTCGCTGTCTTTCTGGTACATATAATTACCATATGTGTCTTAACCCTTTAACTCCCAAGATTTCATTAGTAATTCTCCCTACTGTCTGCCATACACTTCGTATGATGTTAGTTTGGAGAATTTGGACTTGGATCAACCAATAATACCCTAATTGGTATTTTTCTTTATTCTCATTACTTGTCTGCTTGATATCATATTGATAGTGTAAGGAGAAATTCTGTTTAGGTCACTGAAGGGACTTAAAGGGTTAAAATGGGGATTTCATTATATTTTAATGATTCAAATATTCTGATGCTTTCAAATGTAACAAAAAAATGTTATGAGAATCTAATGTTATGAAACACTTACAATGGAAAAACCTATTGCTGGTAGCTTATGTCTTTAATGTTTAAATTTTCTTTGAAAACGGGGATACAGAAGTTTTCAAAGCTGATAGAAGTAAGCTGTTTGCTATAGTAAGAAGAACTAAGTTCCTCGCTGGCCGCAAACGGGCGTATTTTTGGTATCCCAGCCACTTGAAGGAAACTGATCAATAACTGCAGATGTGGGAACCGTTATATTATCTAAGTGTATCTTTAACTTCCTCCTGAACACAACATCCATTTGCCCTTGAAATAAAGCATTCAAGTGGTTACTTTTAACGAAGTCGTTTGCTGTTTCCATGCATGGCTAAAACGGGTGTGTCGCAATAGTCTCGAATGTCAAATCCTAATGTGACGTTCGGGAGTAAGTTGGTGTCATTGCTGATGTGTTCGATTGCAAACGTGATCGCCTCGATGTAACCGAGTCCAAACGCGTAAAACTCGCCGCATTTGTCCTCCAAGTTTTTTACAGTGTTACTTTACCGGGTCGATAGAATCGCCTCGGGTTGCTAGTACCTGATTCAAACTGAAGTGCCACCCACAACAACATCAGATGAAGTTGGACCATTTGTTTGCACACAGAGAAATCGTTATAGGATAAATCAGTGATCTTAAAGGGCCTTTGATGAAAATTGATTTCCGCTGATAACTGGAGACCTATGTGGAAAACACATGATGATGACGTCGAAAGGTCATTACAGTCTCAACTCAGAATTCAACTATTTTTACACTTAAAGGGCTTATCTTGAGGAAAGAAAAGTAATTATTTTCCTAGGGTTCTGCTGTCCCATAGGAAAGACCGGAGTGCTGTTGATTTGAAGGCTAACCTATATGTTTTTAAGCTGCTTTCGGCCTTTGTACCCCTTAATTATGGCGGTTCCTTTATAGATTTTACTTGATTGCTTTGTGTCCTAGAGAAAAAGACTTCCAAAATTGACGATCGAGGTCTTCAACTTTCATAAATAGAGTCTAATGATTCAAGTTTCCTAAAGCGCAGGTGATACACCCTCTTGAACAAACAGAAGAGAAGAAAACTATTACAGATAATTAGCCGATATTTAATTGAAATTTTAAGATCTTTTTTTCTTAGCCTAGGTCAATCGGCGGCGCATTAAAAGGGGCCAATTTTTTGCGATACTACCCAAAGAAAAAGCCAGTTACAGCCTCTATGGAACGCCTGGCTAGATCATGATCTCATCTCAGCTCTTTGCTTACACCCAGATAAAACTTAGGGAATATCATAATTTAAATATCAAAACAGAAGGGAACAGACCTCTCACATTTTGTTTGAATCACCTTATTTAAGTAGAAGAGGATGGTTTTTAGTACTCGTGTGCTTTTTTATTTAACCGGGTTGATGTCGTCTGACACAAGTAGGAATTTGAAACTTATCCAACCACCTTTTTTCCTCGCTAAGCGCAAATCAAACGTCTCGAATGCTTTATTATCACGAGATAGGGTTTCGCTTTTATGTTAAAGAATTCAGCTATGGAAATCTCTCCAGTTCTATCTTTTTTGTACCCATTTAAGGGTTAGGCCTCAGTTGTAGCTCTGCTTTTACGACTGGGAAGGCTATGTAAGGAGCGTGGATGGGTAAAAAAATTCCCTCTGTCAACTACATCCCCTAAGGATACCCCATTGTGAACTGTGCTTTAGCCTTATGTTCAGCGCAAAACCTCGCGCAAGTGTGATTGCTATAACGGTAAATAACAAGACATAATTCATGAAGAGATAGTAAAAAATAAGAATGCATACTTTTTGCAAGAGAGGTGTATATTTAAGTAAGGAATATTTCTGTTATCAACGAACCAACACGAATTTGACTGGTGTCTCATTTGAATTTAAGAATCATTGCATGCAAATATGAAATGCAGTTAACTTTTGTAACTTAATTATTAACCTTGCGCATGCTCAGAAAATGGATCTAGTTCCACTCCCGGAATGCATTCCGGGCGCACTGAGTCTCCGTGCTTGAAATCTACCATGGGTTTGGAAAAACATCTGAGATAAATTAAGAAGAAATCCTAAATTAAACATTTTTTTATGTGAAGATAAAAAGGTCTTTCCGCGAGATCTTCTGTAGACAGAAATATCTCATTAAAGAGGAAAGAAGTGTTCGGTAACGTCACAGCACCGTATCGTTTCATAATTTTTGGTTGCTTCTGTTGGATCCATGATTTTTCCTTATTTTTTTCTTTATGGGATTCTTAGCTTTTAAAGGTAGTGGAAAACATTGTTTGCTTTATTTTACCTTCTTTTTTAAGGTTATTTTCAAAAGCAAACCGGTCTTTAGATTGTTATAGATCATTACAATCACAAGCCAAGAAATTGTTGAAGAAGAAGGCCGAATATATTCAAGTTTCGACGATGTTTGAACGTGACCTCCCAGATACTACATGCCATAACTGAGCAACGAAACCATAATTTTGGGGCTCAAAGGACCTAACTGATTGAAATCCTTCGAGGCCCAAGCAATTTTTCTTGAAATACAATTCACCCGTGAGGAATATTTCGACTTATTTTCTTTTGAAAAGGGAAGTCGCATTTTTTTTAGTATCAGTTTTCAGTGACAAAGTTGAATGTAGTTTCTTTCTTATTGATTGAACACGGTGTTTTAAATTGTTACCAAGGCATTTTACACATGTTTTACAAACACGTTCTTTGCCGCATACATTAACCCGTTTTTTTCTTCCTGTAACGAAAATGATTGACATTGCTTTCAAGTTTGAGAATGGTACAGTTCCCTTGAAGTTTTTGTCATGTACAAAATGGGTAACAACCCAAAAAATAGAGAGCTTTGAACCATGGACTGGGAAGCACTGGCCCAACAGGACCCTTTGGACAAGACATATGCATACACATAGGCAAGAAGGCAAGTAATTTGGATGTAAATGTTTGCAGTAATGTTACCTTATCATAAGAGGCGCAAACTGTGCGGTATAATTTGAAGCAATTTATGTTGTTATTAAAGGAAGTGTGATTGTTAATTGTAGTTATTCATCTTATCTTTGGTAAGTTTCACATCCTATTGTGTTCACACGCAACTGGAAATTAAACCAATTGATTTTTTTTTTTTTTATTCCATCTTCACTTTCGCTCGTAATCAAGCTGACCCAAAAGTAATTTATGCATGTTTTGTCTCCAAAACTGGAAAACGAAAGGTTTCTCGAACTTTCCTTGGATGATAAGGTGTACAGGTGTCTAAACATATAAACTGAATATTTTAACATAATTGGTTCGGTAAAGTCCCTAAGCGCTATACCTCCCGTCTAACATTACGCAAGGTGAGCAGCTAAATTCTATGATACGTGCGCTAACCAGTTTGGTACAAATTAGTTATTATAAACGCAAACTCGCAGTGTGTCGATTAATTTCCTTTTTTACTGAACTTTACTTTCTACTCATCTGGCAAGAACGCACGTAGTCGGAAGTTATAAATATTATACTTGCGTCGTTTTCCGCTCGTCTCATTTAGTTAATTCATCTCTTTTATCTTTCCATTTTTTTATTATTATCCAAAATGTAAAACAAGACGAACATAGAAAGCAAAACGGTAATTCTTTTCCAGCTTTTGAATAAAAACTTACTGTCTTGTTTTTCTTCTTTCGCCGAGAGGGATTGAATGCAGAATTCGTTGAAATTTTTATCGCTAATTGTCAACATCTGTTTTTGCTTTAACTAAAGCTTTTGCACTTTGTCGGCAGCAGGTGATTGGGTCATTCACACGTAATAAAAAGTTTTTGTCACTGATCATCTGAGTTGTTATATCTGCGGTTTTTGTCTTCTACCAGTTTACAAATTAAACAAACCTTTAATCTGGATTCGACGAGTGAGAAGATAGAGGATGTATTTTAATAAAAATTGAAAGACGTGTTGACTTGTTGATGTTTGAAATTTTTTTACTGCATCCATACTCAGACAGACAGTAAAGTGATTTGCCCAACACGATATAAAACAAAAACAATTGACCAGAACAGATAGAAAATGGCGGTAACCTCGAAGGAGGAAATCTTGCTGCTAGAATACCGCTCTTCTAGCATTTTAAGTTTTTTTTTTTTTATTTTAATTGTTAATTTAAACCGACGCTCTATTGATACCTTTCATAAACAACACAATTAATGTCTTTTTGTTCGGCTCCAGGAGCAACAATTTGTAACAACTTGTATCCGACAACAGTTTATCGAACCCTACGTATGGAGCGGAAAAAGAAAATTTTACTGTACCCCGGCGTTTGTGCATATTTGTTTGGGGAAATTGCGTTTGAGTTTTAATTGATAGGTTCCTGTAATCGTGCCGAAAATTTTTGCCTCAAGCCGCTAATGTCAATTATATCAATTATATCGAGATCTGAATTTTTAACGAAAATTGATGAACAAAAGTTTTAGAAATCAAAATTTAGCGAATTTTATATTACGAACAAAGTACTGCGAAAGAAAGTCTTGAAACCCTGAAATTTAATCACTTAAACAAGCTTTTTATTCATATCAAGAGACTCTTAAATCAATTTGTGCTTGTTTCGTGACCTATCCTTATATTTATACGTTTAACAGCTCAATTTCTAATTATAAGTAGCAGGCTTTTAATTTAGACATCTATAAATATTTTATTACAATAGTTGATACATAATACGAAGTTTTTCACTCAAGTACAAATAGACCTTTGTTACATGTAGAGGGATAAATGTCGCACTGCACGGAGCAAGCTGGTTGAAAACCCTCAAGAGGAACTATTGGCCTCAAGTATTGACTGTGAGTTTGAGTTGAGTTTTATGTGTTAACCAAAATTAGCATTGCGTTCCATAACTTCGATGTTGACATCTTTCAGACAACTGTTTAGAAGAGTATTGCATTAACTTTTCGGCACACCTTAGTTAAAGAAGGTACTTGCGCTTTAAAAGGCGGTTTCATAGCTTTAAAAAGACATAGAAAAATTTTCTCTGTGTTTGATAGAAACAATTTTATTTCCTAAAACTACTCAGGATAATGCATACTGGCTAAGATGCTGCACTACTTCGTTGCACTGTTTGCTGTGGCCATACTTTCTTCACGTGAAGGGATTTCCACTCCTCATCCTGGTAACGTTGTTTCCATTCTTTTTATTGTACCTTAAAGTTGACTCAACATTTTGACAGAAGTAGAGCCAGCTGCTTTCCACAGAACACGTCAAACGATATAAACTACTTAGGTTTGCCAAAATTCCTGGAATCGGGGAATATTGTGGTAATGCTAGAACAATATTATCGAAAGCAGGCTGGTATTTCTTCTCAGTAGGGAAAATTCCGCAATTTGCTTGAAGGTGCTGCGCTAGTTAAATAAAAATTCATTTTCTTTGGAACGAAAAACCATGGTTTTAGAGAAATGGTTAGATATAGTTTCGAAATTCTTAAGAAAAAAATTTTTTAAGCAAGTTGGTGATAGAGAACAAAGATGCGTGATCGTTTTTGATCCTACATAGTAGCAGTATGGAAAACAATTGTCAGATATGAATCTGAAATGGTCTGGCATGCCAAAGAGTATCCTTTAGCTCAGTTCAAAAGCATGGAAAGGGGTGCGTTTTGTCGTAGGGGAATCAGAAATGTCTTTTTTCCCTTTGTCATTTCTTGGTTTGGTCACTAACATTCAAACTTTCATGAGACGAGAACCAAAAAGATCGATGTTAAGTTAGTTTTTTTTCTGTTCCGTTTTATAGCAATCGAGTGCACAAACCATACAGTTTTAAACGAGGCAAGCAGATCTAAGTTTTTTACCAACTACATCGTTAGCGGCAGCGATACCTCATTAACGGGCTGGTTTACATTCAATGGCTCAGCCGGTACGCGTATGGCTACAACCTGCGTTCCCGCTGATCACTGCGGTACGTTCGTTCCCGGATGGCTGGCGGGTAACCATCCAAGTGTAGATGAAGGTGTAGTAGTACGATCAGTATGTCTCTCCAAGTCGCGAGTTTGTTGCATGACATCTGTGAGCGTGCTCGTGAGGAACTGCAGCAGCTTCTTTGTTTACAAACTGGACATGAATTCAAGTTTCAGCTTTACCTTTCGAGTGTGTGGAAGTGGTATCGATGGTAATGTAATATTCTCTGGCCTCTTTTTATCAATCGCATTTGTAGAAGAAAATCCTCAGAGATTGTAGTGAGAATGCCTCCTCCATCGTCTGCTATCCACCTGAAAATCATAACTACGATATTTCAGGCACTTTGTTTTTGCCTTTTTTATTAAAATAAAAGGTGTTTGCAGTTGTTTGAGAAATAAAATGAGTTCTTTATCGAAAGAAGGAGGCTTCATCCATTTTGCGTCCCACAGGGGCGGGATGAGTGTTAGTCAACTTGACATCCGACATTTAAATTCAAAGGCTTGCTGATACTGACTTTAATTCATAAAATCTGGAAAAATTTACTCACAGAGTCTTTCTTTATTTCAGGATCACTGCCACCTAAGCAAGTAGCAATCAAGGATAAGCCAGGTAATTCAAGAAAGTTCAACTTGAACACAGTCACTAGTATTCTATTTTCACAACTGCAGCCTTTTTCCACGCCTCCTCTACAACAAAATTTTGTAAGAAAGATTAGAAACATTCCCAATTTTGACGCCATTGTTACAAACTTTAATGCTTTCATGGATGTCAAGATGAACATGCGATATGAAAAAGAGTTACCCTTTTACAAGAGTTATCTGCGTTAATTTTGTGAAAGTATTTCAATTCTTATCCCATTTACGATAATTGTTTACTTCGTTAAACCAAACAACACGAGGTTCAGTCTTGAAACATAAACGTGTTGGCAAAAATTGTGCCGAAACTTTTTAAGTTTGTTCATTGTAATTAAAAGAATGATAAACTCTACGTTTCAACTAAACAAAAAATATTCATATCGTCGATTTCTATTATTTGTTTCGACCACTTCGTTCGTTTGTTTGTTTATTTAATTGTTATTAGGCGATGAATGCACCAACTACAGCACACTCAACGAGCGTGATAGAGCCGCAGACTATTTCAGTTACAACACTTTGAAGTGTGACGCCTACCTACCCAGTGGCTGGTACAGGCTGGCTGGTCGTGCAGGGACTGTTATGCCGACACACTGCGTGCCCAAAATGCATTGTGGTACTCTGTCACCTGGCTGGTTGAATGGCAAACATCCAACTAAATGGGAGGGTGTGGTGGAGCGTATGGTTTGTTTTACAAAGGATAACGATTGTTGTCACTGGTATAGTTTGGTGTTAATGAAGAACTGCAGTGGTTTTATTGTGTACAAATTTGGACACTTTCCTACAGCTGTAGACTCCTGCAGCCTGCGATACTGTGGAGCTGGTGAAACTGGTAAATGACACGTAAACCAGTCATGGACTGGTCATTATTTATTGGCTGTAGAGGGGGAAAAAGTAGGATGAATTTGTTTACGATCCCCCCTAAGGCTCTTCAATATTGTTATGGTCCCCCTTTCATTGGAAGTTGATTGGCAAGCAATTTTCTTTAGTCCCCCCCCCCTTTATAACATGTGGGGGTCGACTGATGCCCCTTTAATTTCCCCTGAAAATCATGTGTTTCCGGCCCCCCAATCCTCCTTATCTCGTCCTCCCAGGTGGTAAATCACGGATTTTTCCTTTAAAAGAAACAACCAAAGAGATAAAACCGCGGAAACCAGATTCCCCATGGCTGAATACTTCCATTAAATATTTAGTTGTTAGAAGACTTTGATCTCGAAAAAATGAGGTAGTTTTAGTTTCGAAGCCATTCGTAGCTACAAATGGCATAACCGTGGACAGTAGGCAAAGAAAGGTGACCGCCGAGACTGCCTACATCGAGAATTTTATGCGTGGTAACCAACTTCGTCGCCTATTTTTCTGAATTTTTGGTAGGTTGCAGAGACAAAGAGGGAAACAGCTATGACGTATGGCAGAGTTGGAACCCAAATCCTTTGTTCAAATGTACATGTGCACCCAATCTTAAAGTCGAATGCAAAAAAACTGAATATGGCTGCTGGGATTCCCATGGAAACGCTTTTGTAGATGGATACGAGTGGCTTAGCAACAACATGACTAAGTGTACCTGTAGCTATGGAAAGATAACCTGTACCAAGCTCTCACGGCCAGCCTGCACCGATGAGAAAGGCATAGTGCGGGAACATGGTACCCACTGGTTTTCCGGATTCTGTTTCAATTGCTCATGCGGGGATGGTTTGATCAGCTGTGCGAAGTATCGCGTGACTATCAAGTATGGGTTATTCCAAGTTGAGACAATTGGTAGATGTAAACCATGTCATCAACCAAATAACGATATTTTACCAAAAGGGGATGAGACAGTCGCTGCTTGCCAGGGTAGGTTTCAATAATAAATTAAGTGTCGTTATTAAATCACTGCAATGATGAAATATGATTGTTTGTTATTTATCACGTAATTACTCTCGATCTGAATCACAGGTTTATATTGATTGCAAACCCCCCCCCCCCCCCCCCTACTAACATAAAACAAAATCGTCCCCACCTTAATCATTTGAACGATGTGGAGCTAAATCGGAGAGATGGTAAGAGGCGAACATGTGATAGTGAGAAATCATCAGTTATCGAATCAAATATCGAAAATGACTACTTTCCGGCCAAGTTGAGCCAAGTGTTTTTTCACACTTACCTCCCCAACGGGTAGAGAGAGCGACTCGTTTTGATCAACCAACGAATGACATTTACACAGTGCAATTTTCCATGTTAAAGGCTTCTTCTCTTTCCAGTCTTCTTTCAACTCATGGCTTCAAATGAGGTATTTGGTTGTTCCAGTGGCGACTTCGTAAGGATAGAACACGTGTGCAATGGAGTCGCCGAGTGTCCGGACGCTTCTGATGAGGCGCAGTGCCAGAATGGTGAGTTAATGAATCCTGCTTTTTCAAGTAACTGAGCTTTCACTAATCTAACCACACCATATACCTCTCCTCCCTTCCTCCCCACTTTCCTCTTTCCTCTTCCCCCCCCCCTTCCCCTTCCCCATCGCTCAAACGAAAAAGAAAGGGGAAAAAAACCATCGGAGACAAACTTACTTAGAAATAAATACTAATGATTTCTGTTCCACGTTGTTGTTTTAGTTATTTGTCGCGATGAGGAAGGGCAGATTCTAATTCTAAAAGATGTTTGGAATGTAAGTTTTCATACTTATGGCAAACCTTGTAAAAATTCCACCCTTAGAATAACTAAAGCAGTACACTAACTTTCGGAAGGCTTAGCGGTTTTTTTTTGCAATGTCAGCTCGAATAACATTTGAAGAGTTCATTGTTAACATCATTCCAGGTGTCCGACTGTCTCAGCTGCGAGTGTACAAAGGGTCGTCTGGAATGCCAGAGGACACTTCAAGTCATCTTCCCGGGCAAACACCTGGCATACGTACCTTTTACTGAGTCCTGTGAACAACCAGGGTGTAACACTATGGAATTCATTAAAGCCAGAAGAGAATCTTGTGAAGGTACACGTAAGGTTAAAGAGTTAAACTTAATTTAAGCCGAGAGCTACATTAGAGATCACTTTAACCAAATTAGCATACACCATCAGGATTCGCTTAATAGATCTATACTTATCAAAAAAGGCTGCTAAATGTTGACCGGGGCGGAAATTGAAATCACCGCGAAAACCATCCACAACTATTTGCAAACCTTAGGAACTGGTCATTATTCATCAGCTAGAGGGAAGGGCGGGAGGTTTTGGTTAGGTAACAATAAAATTTAAAGGATTCCCCTCTAAGGCCCTGAAGTACTCCGCGATAAAAATTAATGAGGACTGGTCCCAAACATACATTTATTTCAAAACGTGCGGTATCAGCCAGGAAAATTCAAACCGAAAATTAAACAATTTAAGTATAAGTTTATTTAAGGATTAGCATACATTCCCGACCAAGGAGACATCGGTCAAAATAAACA